ATTATTATTATTATTATTAATAATAATAATAATAATAATAACAACAACAACACGCTGTGATGCTAAGGAGTTCTACTCCCCCTCCCCACCTGAAAAGAAATCTCTTCCAAATGCAAAACACAAGCAGAGGAGTTTCAGTTTTAGTTTCACAGCAACCAAGCAGCTTTAGTACAGAACAGTTGAGCTAAGCCACACTCGGGCTCCTTGCTGTCTCCTTCTTGATCACACAGCAAATACTGCTTCAGTTTCCAAGCAGCCCTCAACTCTCTCACACACTGACAGGATGCTAGCCAGATGAATACCGATGGATGCTGGTAGGCAGAGGCAGAATGTTTTTTTCCTTATTTTCCTCCCCAAAAACTTACCCGATAGTATCGTAGCGAAGCACGGGTATCGAGCTAGTAAATGAATAATTGGATCTAGATTAATGTGGCTGGGATGCAAACATCTCACAGCTCCTGGCTTGATGCTGCATGCAAAACCTTTTCAGACCATTCTTTCCATGTAGGAGGCAAGAGAAACAGCGCATGGAGGAATACATGATCCAGCTGCGGGAGATCCAGGATCGTGTAGAGAGCCGCCCGTATCTGTTTGAGAGAGTCATGCAGGTGTGTGGTTCAGGACCAGATTTTGTGGGTGCCAGCAGTGGAGTTATATACCCTCTTCAGCCCTACTTCACTGAGCAAAACCCTCTCAAGGTGACAGTCCAGGGAGGATCTGTACCAGTAGAAGAGAATTTTTGTAGCTCGGGATTGTGAACTGTGCAGTGGGTGTTCTCTGAGCTTGTTAGTTTTCCTGCAGACGTTTCATTATCTGACTGGGTAACGCCATCAGTGCGAAGGAGTGAGGGGTTTACTCCCTGTTTTTATATACAATAGCTTGCTTTGCCAGTGTTGATGGGCATGTTGTTTTCTTCTAGGTAGGTTCTTCTGGGTAGAAGAAAACAGCATTTCCACCAAAATTGACAGGGCAAGCCACCGTGTATAAATAGAAAGTAAATCCCACTCCGTTTTAGCACTGATGATGTTACCTGGTTGGGTCATGGAACGTCTTCAGGAAAACAACCAAGCTCAGAGATCACCAAAGACACCACAGTGGTCCTCCCCCCCTTCCTCTTCCTCTTCCTCCTCCTCCTCCTCCTCCTCCTCCTCTTGACTCCATTCCCTTCAAATACTGCTGATGTTACCTAGTTGGATCATAAAACATTTGCAAGAAAATGGCCAAGCTCAGAAATCACCAAGGAGACCACAGTCGTCATTCTCCTCCTCCTCCTCCTCCTCCTCCTCCTCCTCC